GGGGGGATTCAGAAGCAAATGCACTTTCGGGCTCATTCAACACGATATTGGGAGGAGAAAAGTACAGTCCATTTATTTGATAAATAAATATACCGATTAGTTTCTTTCCTACTCACCTATAAAGTAATCTCAATTAAAAAAAATTCAAAAAATTCCGTTGGGGGTGGCGGCAAGTTGCCTCCTCCAGCCCAATGCCTTCCGCTGGATACGCCACTGAATAAAAGAAATCCTCTCAAGATATTCTATATTAGAGCCATGAAATTGGGGAACTGAAGAAGTTTGGCACTGAACCTCTGGCTTTTGGACTCAGGACTTCCAATTCTGAACAATTTGGATGTAGTCGGGTCCGAAAGTGGCTCTATTTAGCCGTTTTGCAGAGGGATTTAAAATTGGCTACTTGTCAAGTGAGGAAAAGCGTCGTTTGTATTTAGGAGTTGTCTGCTTTGGATGAGAATTTCTCAAAAAGCTATAGCAACCCATCAAAAATTAATAAGAATTTGGAAGACGTCATGATGATCATAATTTTTCTGTCTAGCCTGAACACCAGTAAAAGTATTTTTATAAGAATTTTGAATAAGTTATTCCCATATACACCCCATAAATCCCTAGTAGGGGATTTATTACTGGTGTAAATGGGACTTTACTTACTGTGGTGCACCCTGCAATCAGGTGTCAGTGAAATGTTAGTACGCCCTCTATTTTAAGGCAACAGCGTTCCTTTTCGTGGCCGAAGTTATTAATGGTTATGCGTGGGGTGCCTTCTGCCATGTAAATAATTCTACCAAAAATAGACATGCCGTTCCAGTTGCGAAACACGACGGCTAAGTTTGTTTCGTGCTGGTGAATTTGACCATGGTTTAACCCATTTCCCTTGCTCCGTCTGTACGTCACAGTGAAGTTTTTTTTTTTACGTTGTTCAGAGGTGATTACGCCCTCTGCCGATAATGACCTCGAACGACATACATTCGATACTGTGGAGCCAGTTCCACATACTGCACAAAGTTATTCTGGCTGCGGCTCGGAATAACGCGTGTGTTAGCTGCACTCTCGTGGCTGCAGCCACTTCACGTAGACATACCTCCTAGCCGCAGCCAGTAGGGGCATGATATAAGTCGTACTTGCAGAGCTTCAAGTGCACGGTATATTGCTATATCATGTGCATGTACTGGCGAACCGCCAGCTACATTGTACATGTATATATACAGCGGGGCACAGCCACCCTACGTGCACTCACGGGGCCGGGTGCAAGCGACCAAGGCCCTGACTTCGTGCCAGAAATAAGCTGATGCGGATATCGTACTTTTTCCATCTCCACTGGTCATGCTGGTTGTCAGCGGCTCCGCCAACATTGGAGTCTTCCCTGTCCAACTCTCGTCTTGATGACAGATTTGAGCTGCCTGCTTGAGGTTTTGTTGGTGAGCCAAGTTAATTTTGCTTATAGCGTGAGCATGGTGAGTTGGACTCTGGCGTTGCAGGGCTTCTCTCAGCCCTCAACATGTTCTTTTTTCATTGCTAGCCAAGGACTCCATTTCACAAAACAGTGTGCATGCAGCATATCAATCATAGTGATTGTCAAACTATGACTGGGAGTGTCTTGGTCCACGATTGAATAGGCAGGTGATTCAGGGGCGTAGTGACGGGGGATGGTGGCACCCTTATATTAAGCCAATTTCCCATTCTGACACCATAAGCCTTATTGCTGATGCGCGTGAGTGATTTTGTGTAATGTTAGAAAGGCACTGCGGGAAGGAAAAAGTGGGCAGTGTTTGTTCCTTTTTCCTTCCCATAATGCCTTTCTACTGTTTCGCAAACTCGCTCACATGCATCAGCAATAAGGCTTAGGGCCTATGTTGATGTTAGCACCCCAGCACGCGTAAGTGAACAAAAAGCTAGATGAAAACAAATTGCCTACAACAGTAACAACCGAGAGCATCCATTTGCCAAATGTTACGCAACATTGTCATGAATTTGTTCCCCTCTGTTACATCTTCTGAACATGATGACGGCTTGACAATATCGTCACTGGTTCCCCCCACTGACGTCAATGTGCCAGTACCTACATGTACATGGAGCTTATGTAGGTTAGTAGGGAGTATTTTATTTGATGCAGGAGTTCTTTGTCTTTGCAAAACCAACAATCCACTTTGTGTGTTGTATCCTAATATTGGAAAATGTGTGATGTAATTTTGTAATAAATATGTTCATCCAACGGCCCATTTACAATGTAGTGCCAATTACAGGACAAGGGCCAGTTAAAGAGACAATGAAGAAATGTTCAGGTTTAAAGGTGGGAGGGAAACCCGGGATAAATAGTCCAGGGAAAACCCACAGAGTCAGGCAGGGATTGAAAACCAATCCACATGCTAACCTGTATATGCATGTCGGCAGGATTCGAACCTGGGTCACAAAGGTTGAAGGCAAGGAAAGAGCCACAACACCATCCAGTACATGGATCATTCTATAAAGTAGGGGTCTAATTTTTTTCGTGTCCCTGTCACATCCGACATATGATGTTGTAAGTTCGGAACACATTCTCTAATTTCCAAGAGTGGTTAATTAATGCAGATTACCTGCCAAACAGAAACAGTTAAAATCAATTTCAGTAATATTATTTCCATGTCAAATTACACAGGTCAGGTGTATCAGGGACACAAAAATGTCACACTTTTCGATGCCAAATTTATAGAATGACCCACATGTACCTGTGCATGTGTTTATCAATTGGCGTGATGCCCTGTTCATTTCACTGGATCCACCCCCTTCCTAATCTGCAAAGTTTTTACAAATCTTACAAATAGTTGTGGTGTACAATGCGCATAAGCACAGTTTGGGCTGTTTCGATTATGCCAAATCTACCCTGTACTGTGCCATCACAGATAGGTGGAAAGGCTTGCGGTAGCACCATGCGAACGAATATATCTCTTATGAATACAGTATGTGTGGTTCTGAAAAGAACCGGGAGTATACTCAACGTTTCGGACTAAGTGCTCAGTCCCTCGTCAGGAGACTCAGTCCGTTTCAGACTGTGTGCTCAGTCCGTCGTCAGGAGACTGACAGGAGACTGACGACGGACTGAGCACACAGTCTGAAACGGACTGAGTCTCCTGTCGAGGGACTGAGCATGCAGTCCGAAACGTTGAGCACTCCCAGTTCTTTTCCGAACCACACATACTCATAAGAGATGTGTTCCTTCGCATGGTGCTACCACAAGCCTTTCTACCTGTTGCAGTCTTTCACCATGAATAGCCTGAAATTCCACCATCACAGATACTTGTGCAACATAATGTCATGCATCCTTTCTTAGTGGGGCTAGATATCTGCTGGGGAGATTTCTAGAAACTGGATGGTTTTTGTTCTTTTCTCATCCTCAAGGGTCATGGAGTACTGAAAATCTGTCCCTTGTGCTAACCTGCCTGGATAAAGTGTGACACTGCGCTGAGGCATGGATCATTCCATATTAGCAGTAGTGCTTTCTGACCACTCGTCATGGCGCACCCTGAAGACGTCCCCGTCATCCAACATCTCCCACAAGTAGCCAACTTGGAGCAACCTGTTCACTTCAACGAGGGAGCATCTTGTTAAACACTGTTGTAGGAGTTCTGTTGTGCAGGAAGTTAGTTTTTCTCTTAGCCGTAGGATCCACTTTGAATATAGCAACATTTGAAAAAAGGGCCTGCCAGGAGAAAAAAGAAACCATTTTGGGACCATGGAGATTGGTGACATGGATGTCCCTGTAGTTAGCCCACTGCCCATGGCCATGAGTGTCCCCTCACCCACCAGCCTTCCCCCAGGGAATGGAGACGGAGGGGCCAAGTCACCCCAGGCTGGTCCTCATCGAACTGGCTCAGGAAACAGAATTGGTAAGTTTGTGCAAGAGTGGTCCACGCAAGTCACATACACAATCCAACGGATGTATGACAGGGCTACCGAGTAGAAAGATTCACATTCTTCACAGAGTCCCCTGTACAGTTCACGTACAATGTGCTTGTATGCATACAACCAAGGGGGGAATCCACGATTAATTTGGGGAGGGAGTGATTTTGAGGGAGGCCAGAAATTTTCAAATTTTTTTGTGAAACTTGTTATGGCCTTCCGAGGGCTGAGGGTAAATATTGGGACAAGTTTTTACGTGCTTGTGAAAGGAAAGAAAGTAAAACAGTCCCCCTCCCGGATGCCCCGCCCCATCTCCCTCTTCCCCAATGCCATAACTTTATACACACCTAACTTTTTGTCACCTGACACACTGTAGTCCAGAAGTTTTGGATATGGTACCATCCTTCATTTAACATGTGGAGTCGTGAAAATTATGTGTAGCTCAAGACATATTGGTACAGACTGGTACAAAAAAACAATCTTTCAAAACCCTGTTCTGATGCTGCACTTTGTTAAGTATCTGATGTCTACCCCCGGTGGTCTCTGCCCATAAAAATGCCACCAGTGCACCGAATCCTCACATTGATCTGGTCTGGTCGCAGGCTTCGAATTGAAATCACTCACAGTCAGCTTTATTCTCAAATACAAAAATGCCAAAGGAAAGTCCCCTTAAAGAAAGCCAATGAGAACTCAAGCTTGACAGCTCTAAACAAAAATGAGCTCTGTTTTATGTGTTTAGCAGTTTTGTAATTGATCCGTCAGTTTGAGGGCTGTGATGTTCAGCGTGTGTCACATGAAATTCGGCCACCGCCCAAGTTACGCATCTCTCATCAGTTCCCGACAATAGATAATAATGTAGAAACATAATATTCTGACTGAAGCAAACATCCTTGGCGGGAAAGCTGGATCAGGTTCAACTTTTCCAGCTGTCTGCGTTGAGTCGCCAGTACATGTAGCCCTATACATGTACAAACACGCACTCTGACATGACAGGCCTATAGCACAGCGATGTCCATCTTGCTTTGTACTGCTCATCGTGCCCATTTTCTCCCTACTATGCACCCAAAATGGTCAAAAAACAAAATAACTGACCATAACCAAAAGTCAGACTGGAGTATTAGTTTGGCGGTATTGCCATCTCATCTAAAAAGGCATTTTATATGCAAATTGTTTTGAGTTTCCGGTGCCATTTTGTTCAATTTTCGGGTGGAATAATGTCATGCGGCGTCTCCACCACCGAAACATTGTGCTCTTTAATGTGAAGAGGCAGGAAATAGTTATTAAGAGTGTTTTTTTTTTCTGAATCCTTTTCATGTGCAGACAAGTGAAATTTGATAGGATGATATCATTCTTTCTGTAAAATATCCCCAGGGGTTCAATGTGGATTGTTCCTCTGATCATGTGCATACATGTGTGCACATGTACAGTGTAACGGTACATGTATGTAGGCATGTACATGTACATACAGTATTTCACGTGTCATGTGCATGCAGTGTAGCTCTATACTGGTATACTGGTAACGTACATGCACAGTGTGCACTACATGTACTGTACATGTAATACGTGTTTCAATATTCGGTTACCAAAGGGATGTTTGTCATTGCTGTGTGCATATGTACACATGCGTTAACTATAAATGAATTTATATGTCCCCAGTGCAATGATTTCTGGGGCTTTAACCCTAACCCCCAAGGGGGTGTGTAAAATCGTATTGAAATTGGAGGATTTGGGAGTGTAAGGGTTAATTGTACACGTACCGGTATGCAGACTGATTGGGCACCATCATTGCATTTCCTTCAAGAACATGTCATGGTTTGCAAGGCACCTGTGGATAGATGTATGATACCGGTACTGTTAAGCCCAAGCTATAGCATCAGTCCCAACTGTATAAACACTTCAGTTGGGACGGTCCCCACTGTAATGCGTCAGTTGGGTTGGCCCATTCATGGTCAGCAAATTTATAGAAAGTTTCTCAACCTTTTACCGCTCTTTACACCTCAAACCAGACAGTATTCCGTACCCGGTACACCTGGCACAGTTGAGTTTGTACATGTACTTGTAAGTCTGATGAAAATTGTTCATTTGGGGGATGGGTATGTTGGTCCCGTGCTTGATGGACAGATAAGCAAGATTTGTTATTTGGAAAGTTAGGTTACCCAAGTTACCTGGTACACATATGTATTCATACTAGTACCAGTACGTACATGTGTAAGGACACAATACTGGCTAACAAAAATGGGACACATAGGTAAAAATTCAATCTAGTGAAAGGTGTTTAATTTACTTTTAAATTATGACAATGGACCACCCTCTATCAGAAAATAGCAATGGGAAGATAATCGGCCCAAGAAATTTTCATACTAGTACCAGTACGTATGTATGTATGTATCATGTGGTACCAACATATTTTATTTAAATACCGTATATTGGTACATGTTCTGGTTCATACATTATATGTACATGTACATGTACACAGTACTTCACATGTGTCCCCACAGTTTTTAATATGGTAGTTTAGCCGGCCTTGGATTTAAAAATAATTTTGCTGTCCAAAATGTAGGCACCAACGATATTGTATCTTGGACGATATCGATATATCGTTTTTTATATCGATATTATCGATATATCGATATTTCTTCATTTTAATTTGCTCCTTAACGTACAGATCTCACGCCGTATACCTATGAGCATGAGAGTGGTTTTGGACTCTATAACTTACAGTACACTTTTCTAGTCACAGCTACAAAAAGTGAACTTCAGGTTTTTGCACCAAAATGTCCCAGATAGTGCAAGAGATGTCATCGTTAGTGGTCTTTTTAAAATTTTGTTCATATAAAATCTGAAATGTCCAATCAACCATTGTTATTTTAGATTATCGACGAATTACCTGTATGTTTCTTTAAAGTGGCAACGCATACATATATGATTATGCAAATAAGGGTGGAGTTTGTAGACCGTTGTCAATAGAGAATACAAACAGCAACCAGGCTCCGAATTAGGAAAATATTCTTCATGTACGTGCCCCATGAGTGCATTCAATTGAAAAAGTTCCACGTGCACTTCCAAAAAGTTACCTGCGCCATTAGCTTATAAATACAGAGAGTAGAACATAGTAACTGCATGTTACCCTGCAAGGTTACCTCATTGCAAGCTACGTGTACCTGACTAGCTGTCAAAAACTTGACCATGTAAACACACGATTCCGTAAACGTATACTATACCATGCCTCCATGATACTGTACGTACTGGTATCAGTGCATCAATTGCTGTAACCCCTATGCTAGTCTTTCCTGAAGAAGTAAAGTTGGCTACATACAAGTTACCAGTAGCTACCTGTACGTGCACTATGCCCGGTAATGCCAACGTTCTGTGCGATTGTATTTAGGCTAGGCCCATGGTGAGACAACAGAGTACAGAAGAGAATATGCCACATGCACAGTTATGTGTAAAAGGTAAACAACATTAGCTTGAGAACCAACGTAAGCCGTGGCTTATCGAAAATTATGGTAATGTGACGATGCACTTTTGTACTTTTAATAAAATTTGTTCCTGAGTAGCGATATAACGATACCGATGTTTTCAAAGTTTTGATATTTTCGATATTTCTCGAAAATCTGATATTTTCTATATATCAATATTATCAAATAATTAACATCGGCGATATCAATATCAAACCCATATTGATAATATCGATATATCAACGGTGCTTTGCAAAATGATATGAAATTATTTTTTTGTACAGAGTGTTACACGGTTTTCAATTAAAACAATAGTGAAATCAACATACACATCTAACAATAGTACGTATTGGGAGTGGGTTTATCATAACAAGTGAACTATTCAAAAATCAAAATGTGTTCTTCACGGCTACTGGGCTACACTACGTATTGGAAAGGAAGAAATGATGACGAATTACAAAGAAAATGCAGAAGCTCCCACAGACAGGGTGCAGGCACTGAAGAGACACCTGCTTTAATGATCTTGTTCATGCAGAGGCTGGACTAGAATATATTTGAACTGGAGAACGTGTGACCGTAGAATTTTGTGGAATCAGTAATCTGAAAATTTACATTGCACTGTCAGATTGTAGCGTCAGCATGTACACAGTGTACATGTATGTACATGTACATGATGTACATGTATGTGCCATACAGAGTACACACACTGTACATGGGGTTAATTGGGAGACATGTTTTTTATTGCCAGATGACATTTGTCATGCTATCATATAACGTGATGAAACATCTCTTTTTTTCATTTCAACACCATTTATGTCAATTCCTCCCGCTGGATAGTGGGAACTAAATTACCAGTACGTGTATGATCCTTGCTAAATTGGAAGGAGACATTGCGTTATATTGGCATTCTTATTACAGGTATTTGAGGGGCGTTTTATTTCTGGGTCACTGACTGGGATTTCACACTGACGAGTTGACCATCAATTCATGGCAAGTTGTACACTGTGACTATACAAGTACATGTCCATGTA